GTGGAGGGAGGAGAGAGGGATGGGAGACAATGTAATTCCAAAATGCATCAATCCCAATAACACATAAAACCTCAAATGTTGACGCCCTCTCCATAGACTTTTTTTTCTCCATGCATACCTTTTACACACTTAAATCATTCACAAGGTCGTAGGCTACTTCGAACCTACACAGACCTGGACCAACGGGAATGAAAAAAAAACAAAAACAGACGCATTTCAGACTATTATTTAAGAGGTTGGCTGTGCCATCGCCCCTGCTGAGAGCTAGCACACCCTTGTATCCCTGTATAACCCCATCAGGGTTCAGACTGAGCAGGAGATTTTATTTTCCAAGAGTTTTCAAAAAGTTTCCAAGACCAGATTTCTTTTATTTTCCAATACAAATAACGTGTCATTTTGGAAGAAAATTTTTCGTCCATCATGCAAAAATACAATATTGCACACATATGAATGCGTAAAGTCGAGGCCTTCGTAACTTGGAGGAAATATTTTTACAATAGATCTAGTTAAAAACTTGTTTTTACAAGACTTTTCAAACAAATAAAATTCTGAGTTTTTCCAAGTCTTGGAAAATAAAAAACAAAATTCCAAAAGTTTCCCATGTTTGGGGGAAAAAAAAAATTCCAAGAGTTTTCCAGTTTTTCAAGACCCATAAGAACCCTGCGTGCGCCCTCCGCCCCCCGCCACCCCACAAAACAAAAGCTCACCATGGCGACTTGCGCCGAGCGCGGGTCCAGCACGCGGATCTTCTTGTCCTTGCAGGTGGTGGAGATGAGCGCACCGTCGCGGCCCCAGGAGATAGAGAAGACCGTGTCGTTGTGACACGCCAGCGATGTGATGGGCTCCGCCTGCTCCGCGTTCCACACCATCACCTAGGTCAGGTCGGAGGGAGGGAGGGAGGGAGGAAAGGGGGGGGTGAGAAGCACATTGGATCAACATGACATGATAACTGCACTTTTTTTTGGGGGGGGTGGGGGGGGGGGGGATACATTTGCTAGAGTTGGGTTTTTTAAGTTTGTTTTTTCTGGAGGGTGTGGTTATTTTTTGTTTGATTTTTTTGTTTTTTGGGAGGGTGATTTGGGGTGATTTTTTGTTTTTCTTTTGTTTGGTTTTTTTTCAGGGGAGGGGGTAAACAACGTCTTTCACCCCAAACCACAATAAATTTGACCATTTAGGAGGCAGGCTGCTTCAACCTTGTCTGCCAGAGACAAAACCGTTGTGACACGTCAGTGACGTGATGGGCTCTGCCTGCTCCACGTTCCACACCATCACCTGTGTCAGGTAGGAGGGGGGTGGTATTTGTTCGCTTTTATCTTTCAGGTTTTTTGTCTGTTTGTTAGTAATTTTGTTTTTTGTTGGGTTTTTTTTGGGGGGGGTGGCTTGTTTGGTGGGGTTTTTTTGTTTTGCTTGTTTTTTATGAGAATGAGATGTTTTACACCCAAATCGAAACAATTTAACATCATTTAGGAGGCAGTCTGGTTCAGCCCAGTCTGCCAGAGCCAACGCACACTGCGGTTGAAAATGATACAGCATTCAAGGGGATAGATATACTCGATGTGAAAAAAAAACTTCCCCATACAAGAATTGAACCCACATCTTCCGCATGCCACAGCAAACAGCCTAACCATTTAAGTACAGATACCGGAGGCAGCGTTACAAAAGTAATTCAACATTTCTAAACAATAAAAAATAAAAAATTTACTAAAATTTGTTTCTATTTTAAACCCACAAACTCCATACACACCTTGTAGTCGAAACCAACAGACATGAGAACATTGGCTGCCGTCGGATGCCATTCCAGGTAGCTGACACGCCTGGAGTGACCGTGCAGGTCGGCTGACCAGTCCGTCAAGGTCCCTACTAGCCCTGTCTCCGGGATGGTCCAGATCTTTACCTGCAAGAGGGTGAGACGACAGAGCATTGTGGTTCACAGCCGTTATAGAGAGAGCCAATCACACAACTGAGGCCTTTTCTGCATTTTTGTGTTTTTGGCAGCATGTATAATAGGCCTAAGTATTTTATGTGCAACCGACACATTCTCCATCTCTTGTATACATTTGTTAGACTCGCACGTTTCAGTCGCATTACATCAGGGCTTGATCAGTACAACAGCAGATCAGTAGAGATGATCAAATCAGCATAGCAGATCAAATCAAATCGGTATAGCACATCAAATCAATTCAGTAAATCAATACAGCAAATCAAATAAAAACTGTAGATCAATACAGCAGATCCGATCCATACACGAAAACCTACAAAACGTCTGAAGGACTTTTTGAAAACTTTTTTAACAAATGTTGGGACTTCAAGAACATTTATATAACTGGCAGGGGGACTTCATGAAAACTTTTTCAACAAATCATATGGGACTTTATAAAAACTTGTTTAACAAATGGGACTTCATCAAAAATTCATATGACTAGCAGGGTACTTCATGAAAACTTTTTAAACAAATGGGACTTTATGAAAACTTGTTTACTAAAAGAGGGAAACTTTATGAAATCTTTTTTAACAAGTTGGACTACATGAAAACTTTTTTAACATATGAGTCGGACTTCATGAAAAATTTCTTAGCAAGTGAAGGACTTCATGAAAACTTATATTATAACATATGAGAGACCTCATGAAAACTTGTTAAACAAGTGGGGCTTAATGAAAACTTTGAGTGGGGGCACTTCATGAAAACTTTTTCAACAAATCTTTGCCGATGTCGCCTCAAAACTATTTTGTCCAAAGTGCCCTCTATAGTTAAGTACATTTTGGACAAAATAGTTCTGAGGCGACGAAATGGGGCTTCAAGAGCAGCGGCCACTACTCTAGTCTAGTCCTGCCAAAACTGTTCGAGCAACAAAAATACTTGCCGAAGCATCGTCCGAAGCAGACGCCACCACACAGTCGTTGAAAGGGTTCCATTTGACGTCCAAGATGGCACCTGCATGGCCGCACACTCGCGGGCAGTTGATGTCCACCCGGCCCGGCTGAGGACAAGAAAAGGAAAGGAGGCGGTTAGTTTAGTTTTAGTAAGAGTTTTACGGCACTTGCAATACAATAATCTAATGTCATAAAAGTGCCGAAGATGAGACGTGTTACAAGAGAGTAGCAAACATAAAAAGAAGAAGGTGAGATCAGGACGATAGATGTTTGTTAGGAAAGACAGAGCAAACGTCACCAGAGCACCTGCCGACCACCCACTTTTTCCCTCCTCAGCCTCCGTCATTTACAAAAAAATTGTAATTACAATGAATGCTTTATCCCCGCCAACAACACAATTTAGGAAAAGTAGGCATTTTTTAACCCTTCCTGTCCAGGTCAACCTGGACTTGGGTCTCATTCAGATCAAACTGCCGCATCAATCCGTCCGTCAGACACACAGACGATAGATGGATGGTAGCTGACTGACGAACTCGTGCTCAAACCACAGCACGTTTTGTTGTTATTTTTTAGGGGGGTTTATTGGTAGCGTAAGTGTTTTACTGCGCTCGCAACTGCGTAAGGTCATATGAGCGCGCGGGACACACCAAACATTTTCAATTGATAGGAAATTTTCCGTTTTGCCCGGATGGCGGCCGAGGCCTACTCTTATCGATTTGGACCACCAAGGGATCTTTGATGTGCGCAACTTGCACATGGGACCTCCGAGATTTTTCACCCTGGTCCGAGAAGGCTAGGTGTAGACCTTTCCTACCAATCAGGGGTGTGGCAGAAAGACAGCAGTTAGGAGGAGCCAAGGAGTAGCTATAGAAAGGCTGCAGAAAGAGTCAGGAGCCCAGTGGAGGGGGCAAAGGAGGTGAGGGGGTGGGGGAAGAAAGTGGAGACAAAAGCAGACAACAGAATATTGCAAGAGAGAACAATGAAAGAAGGTGAAAGGAGACAATTTTAACACTTACAGTACTGTTGGCGACTTTAGCCGACCCGTAATTTCTGCTCAGTACCGCTGGGGACTTAAGTCGCCGATTCGATCAGGCACACTACACAACGAACGGTACTTCTCCACGGGAGTAAATATCAAGGGAAATCACTCTATGTAGCTGAATCGTTGAGTTTTATCATGATGTTTATATGTCGCAAAAGAGGAACTATAAAGTACATTAATTTCTGAATATATCTTGAAAATTTCATGTAATTCTGTCAATGACTTTTGTTTCAATGAATTTTTTTGTAACGTACCCTAATTATTTTGTTGGCTTCAAAATCGGTGAGGTAGTCAAGGGTTTTTCACTTTATGACCCTGCGGTACTGTAAGTGTTAAAGAAGAAAGTTTTTCCGTCGCTACACGGATTCAAACCGGGACCTTTGAATGAGAGGCGAACACCTTAACCTCTAGGCCACGAGAGCCCCCGCACAACTGTTTGTTGGAGTACTTTTCACCAATAGGTTAAACAGAAGTCGAGATATTCACGATGGAAGGAGGCAGGGGTCACCCAGTTTCAGAGGTAAAACTAGCGAGAAAAAGGCTGATTTACTTAATTCTATAGCTTGAGAGTACTGTATTTCAAAACTAAAATTTTACATTTTTTGTGCCTTTAATTAACATTTTTCTGTAAAATTCACACAGTTGTATAATTTTAAATGGACATAAATGGTGTTCAGCCAAAAAACAAAAATTTGAATAAAATTCTTCAATTTTATTATTTTGATGAGCGCCTGATTTTACCACGATGCTTCTCATTATAAGAGAATTTATAAGTGAACCGTCCATCACATAGAAGGAAGCAGATAGACATGGATGTACTCACCCGATTCACATCCAACACAGCGAAAGCACCTCCCCCTGAGCTTTCCGTGACAATGGCAAGAAATCTGGGGTTCACACTGCAAAAGTTACTATCGTGCGTATTCCGTGTGATCCTAACGTTTTCGAAAGTCTGCTCCCGCCGGCACTGGGCTCCGTAGACATGACGAAATTTGGTCGTGCGAATTCGCAGAGCCATGATGCAAGTCCAGTGACGCCGAAGGCTTTACAATGCTACTGAGGAGAGAGAGAGAGAGAGAGAGAGTGAGAGAGAGAGAGAGAAAGAGAGAGAGAGAGAGAGAGAGAGAGAGAGAGAGAGAGACAACAACGTTAGCAATCTGCTTTCACTTTCATCTGTCGCAGATCTACGTCCTCGGGAAGGAAAAAAGTCACACCATGGGCACTTGGGTTCTCTTCTAAGCAGGCATTGAGGGGGGAACATTTAAACGTCTTGATAAAAATAATTTTTACACCAAAAAGAAAAAATTACTTACTATTACAAAAAATAATATCAAAAATCCTTCTCAGAAAGATTTTTACGTATCATTTCAGCAGAATCAGAGACAGGATTTTGTCATTTCAGGCTTTTTTTACTAAGTAGTTTCAGTACTTCTCCTGTAAACCAAAGAGTACTTTTTAAAGCAAAGATGTCAAAGAGTTCTCATGGTTCAGTATTATTTTACTTTCACTCCTATCTCTTGTATAAATAACTGTGTATGTTATAGTCCTTTTCTCAGTCATTTTTATCCGTTTTACACTTACGCCAAAAATATCCATCACAAAATAATAGTTTTTGAAACATTTATTGGGTTTTTATTTGAACCATATTACAATTGAAATCGCATTGTAATTTCCGCGCTTCAGTCCAAAGCAGGGTGTTTCAGGGGGATATTGATATTTTCCAATTGGTTTGAAATTTTCCAAATAAATAAATCATCTGCTACAGTCTTAGTGGTCATATGTGTCATGACACAGTGGAATCAGGTGCTCGTCAATTTTTGGGCATACACGGAAGGAGTTATTCATCATGAACAAACTTTAAAATAAAGTTTGTTCATGAATTTATTTTATTTGTCTTGCTTTTGATGAAAAAATACCCATTCTGTCTTGAGTACAAGTCGAGATAGATAAATTGCAATTGAAAGAGGTGGGGAACGCTTGGTGTCAAATAGGTGAGGTAAAATTAGCAAGAAAATGGACCTTAAAGTTTGATGACTTCCAAAGATTGAGTGTCTTCTTGGCAACTGCAAATTTACTAAATATTTTGTTGTTGCTTTGTTTCACTTTGATAAAAATTATTCAGTAAAATCAAAAAAGAAATGTCTATTAGATTTAGATGGACTTAAATGGTGTTGAGCCCAAAAAGTAAAGTTCGATTTAAAAAAATTGCCCAACCAATGAGAAATTTGTTTAGACGAAAAGGCTAACCATACTTAAGTATAGTACGTCTAGCCGGCCAGTCTATCCGTACTTAAGTTAGGCCCAATGGACCGAAACCTGTTTTGGCCCCGGTCCTTTCTCTGTACGGGGCTCTGGTGTCACTAAAACTATGACAAATGCATGACGACAAAACTGTAAACCCTTTGTTTTTCTTACAATCTGCTTTCCTTAACAATCAAATATAAGCAGTTTTGAGTATATCTGTCTGTCAGTCTCTCTCTTTCTCTCTCTCACAGACACACACATACACATTTTTACAAAAACATGGCATGCATTCAAATGAATACAGCAACACCAAAATACTGATAACAAAGTAACGGGTTTACAATAAAACATCACTGTAAGGTCTCTCTCTCTCTCTCTCTCTCTCTCTCTCTCTCTCTCTCTCTCTCTCTCTCTCTCTCTCTCTCTCTCTCT